GCGTGTGACTCTCTACGTACTCGAATTGCTTGCTTGATTTCTTCGTCCCACCACTTCACTGCTCTCTTACAAACTATCAACTTTCTACCGAGAACTCTACTTGTTGTTGTGTTTACCAGCTTTTCCCGCCTTTCTATGATTCTAGATCCGGCCTGGTCCCGACCTTTGGCATCCTTCGGTGTGCCCATTGCCTCTATCAACTCCGAGAGTTTCTTGTCGTTTACAGCCATCTCTTCTTGAAACTCTACCCTCGTTTCTTCTACTTCTAGCTTATCTATTCTCCATCTGTACATTTTCCTGCGTCGCCTACTCTGTATGACTCTCGTCTGTTGTAGGGCTGTCCACACCAACGCATGGTCTGTAGTGCCTAAATCCGTTGTGCATACTCGTAGTTCCTTCNTCTACGACTATGTAGTCAAGGATGGAGCGTTCTCCTTTTTTTAAACACTGCCTAGTCCATTCCGGTTCTGTCTTTCGTACTCTACCGTTCAACACCTTCATCTCGCTACTGTCAAGGAACCTCAGCATTTCTTCCCCGTTTTTGTTCGTGGCTCCCTCCCCATATTGCCCGATGGCTCCGTGTGGGTTCGTGGTTCGCCCGATGCTTGAATTGAAGTCCCCAACTAAAACTACTTCTCCCTTTCTCTTGAAGTTTTGTACATCCGCTGCTACCTCCCCGAACCCTATCTTGACGTCCTTCACCATTTTCTTCGACTCTGGTGGTATATATACATTTCCTACGAACAAGTCCTTCCTTCCCCGTTCCCCTGGTACCCTTATCCACATGCTTTCGTTGAATTTGGTGTCGCTGATCACCTCAATGACGTCGCACATGTGCTCCTTGACAAAGAATCCAACTCCCCCTTCCCCTCTACTCTTGATTTTCTGTCCTCTCCGCATTTTACCTATTCATGTGTAGCTTCCCACTTCTTTTCCTGTTTCTCCCCCGTCCTTCTCCCACGACTCTTGGACTCCGACTATTCCAGGTCTTTTTCGGCTGCTTGCTCGGCAATTTCGAGTCTTTTACGCTCATCTAAACCCGCATACATTCCAAGACCCTAGTCTGATTTCCTTACTCCTACTTTCTACTTTCCCGTGCCTTTCAGGATTCCTTCTGTCCCTCGTTCGCCTTCCCTTCTGCCTTATTCTTTCGCTGCTCCCCCCTTCCCCTACTTTGGCTTGCTTTCCCTTTTGATCCTTTCGAACCTCCTGCCCCCCTTTGTTTTCAGCCAGCCTTGGGCTACGCCTTACTTCCTGGATCTTATTTGCTATGCACACCCTCCAACCTAGTCTCCGCACCCACGCCGACATCTTCTCTACTTCCAGTCTTTCCCATTCTGCGCTTACTCTCCTTCCAAACGTGATTCTAATGTGGTTTCCTTCCCTTTCTACCCCCCCCCGTGCGAAGCAATATAATCCTACTTCTTCACATATACTTTTGAACTCCAACCTTGTCATGTCGTTATTGACCCCAAATATCAACACTACCAGTACTGCACCTTTCCATTCTCTCTTTCTCCACCCTTTGTGCCTTGTCGTTTCCCTCCTCATCTCTTTCGAGACTATCTCGTTGTTTTTGTTTGAAGTGCGATGCTTTCAAATTACTGGGACTTCCCAATCCCGGGGGGGGGGGATGTTGTGCAGAGTATGCATCGTGCTCACTCGCCGTGTGTTTCGGGTCGAGATCGGTCCGCCACATGGTAGAGCTACCGATCACGTTGCATCTTACTCAGCACAAAGCGCTGCTTTAAGGCTTGGGTGCGCGTAACAAAAAAAAAGGACATCAGTGGCTTAGAGTCTGGTAAGACTTTGTGGTTGTCGAGAATACCGTTCCGTAACATTTCCGGGAACCAAATACCTTTCCAAGACAAAGAACAGTTCCGCAAACGTTCCGGAAACCATTCTAATCTTATGGTGTACTTTCCCCGCGAACGTTCATGAGAATGGTTCTAGGAAAGCGTGCCCGTTCTAGGGCGAAACGTTGTACGAACCGCTGCGGAATCTACCGCATCGGTCAGTAGAAACGTTCTCCATAGTCCTCCTGATGTTTTCGCGTCCATTGTTCTTCGAGTTGTGACTACTTTTTCAATCACTTGTAATACCGAGTTTATGATCTAGTATACCGAAACTGGTATATTTTCGAGCTACGAAATCGCTCATGTGTGTAACATCGTATTCTGCTATGTTGTATTGACGGGAAAGCTAAAAAGTCCACACACAGCCTTGATCAGTTGATACTCATATACTCCGAAGTTATTACAGAAAAAGGGTGTGCGGGGGGGGGGATGTTGTACATACTCGCTCACCGCGTGTTTCGGATCGAGATGGCCCGCCACGCGGTAGAGCTACGAAGTGCATTGCATCTTGTTGCACAGAAACCGCAGTTCATAGCTCGAACGTGCGCAACGATCGATCACACGAGTGTCTTGCAGACAATCCTGACGACTGACTATAGACGACTGAGTATTTCTTTCTGTCGTGCTTAGAGAGTGGTAAAAACACACGCAGCTTAATGCCTCGGCTCTTGCGATTCGCTATCATCTCTCCCCGACAACAATCATCCATTCTTCTGTCACGAGCAAGCACTCACAGCTGTCTCGTAAAACACAATGTCAGCGCCCTCCATCCCCCCCATCTCAGAGATGCCCACACCCGCCCAGCCGGTGGCAGCTTTGGCGTGGACGGCCACACGAATGGTTTCGGCCTCGAGATCGACGGTCCAGAAGATGTCCATGTTGGTGTCCAGTGACACGTTCCTGGCGTAGGAGGATCCATCAAAGCCGTCTGCCGCGGAAACAGCCTGAAAAACAAACAAGCCGCAGGCCAGGGACATCGCGAGTCGTTGCCCCATGCCGGGGGCGATTCCCGACCACGACGACGTCTTCACCATCTTCCTGCCTGCCTGTGCCAATGCATTCGCGAACGAACGAGCAGGAGAGATCAGCAAACAATGTTGACCACACGGGATGGAACAGAAGGGACGATGTTGGAACTCCCTTGTACAGCGACGAAGCACCTTGTGATCCTGACACCTACGCAGGAAACATGGTATTCACATCCCAGGCGCGAGGTATGGCAGAGCCAGTCATGCTGATGTGCTTGCTTTTCCTGCAGCTCCGGACGACCGCATGGAAAAATGGGATACGCAATCGTGCAAAGGAACCACATGATCAAGCAACAAGCGCGTTCAGAACGTCCCACTACCTAAGAAGTTACGAAGTTGAGCCTAAAATATTCCACCATCAAACAAATTCGCCATAAGAACAGGTGCTCAGTTCCGACGTGGCATCAAGAACAAGAACCCGCCTTCGTGGTGTATCAGTGCGCATAAAGTTTTAGAACCGAGCCCTATAACACGACGGCAGCAGATGAGCACTCAGGATGGTGGGGGGGGGACCCCAACAGCGGTTGGATTAAGATTGGGGGCGGAAGAGGGGGGGGCACCTCGTGAAATAATGCTTCCCCCGGTCTTTTGCATGCCATGGCGGTTAGACCATTGACAACGCATCCTCGAGACGGCGAAGCATTGGTCCCATAGGACCGATCAAATACGGCCAATCGTTCCTTCCTACTTGGCCAAACAAAGGAGGCTTAAAAACCTTTTGCTTTAGCTGTCGTATGGACATCACTTCCGCCTCTTCAACACACTTGCTATGCCCCAATCAATAGAGCCACCTTCCATCTTCTCCTGGCTACATTCCATGCGTCAACATCTGCCTGGACCTTCCTTCTGCTTTTCCCAGCTTGAACAAGTAATATTTCTGTCCTTTCCGCAACTGCATGACCTCGGTCTTCGCGCTAAAGGGAGCCCTGGTCATATCTGAACTGAGGGGAGGGGGCGTTGCCCGATTTACTCTAACATTGTGCTCTTGGTGTCACGTTAAAATCCACTGAGAATGACCTGTACCCTCGGCATGGGGCAACCAGCGCATGCATCCAAAGATGCATACGCAAATCACGAGCAACAACCCCCTTTCATCCTAGGCAGATGCCTGAACTACAGAAAAAAACTTATAACATGAATTACATGGGCTCAGTTTGCAACCAACTAACGAGCCTAGAGCCTTGCGCAAATAAGTGGACGGGTGTGCGCCTCTTGCACGGATCCGCCGGCTACATATACGTACGCTTCTCGACATTTTCGACACAGGCTACGATAGCCGACGGCTGATCCGCGGGCTTCCTCGAGATTCGGCAACTACCGCAAGTGACACCAGATAACACACCCCCTGGACCGATTTCAAATCTCGGTCTCTCAACAGCAGGAAGCTCTCAACAGCAGGAAGCTCTCAACAGCAGAAAGAGCCACAGCGCCAAAAACCGTGGCGTTGGAGCTGTCTCGTCGAGAGCTTTCCCAAAATGTATTGTTTCATTTGTGCTTCCCCTTAGTCGTGGCGTAATCGAGCTTTTGAAATCGGTCCAAGGAGTGTGTTATCTTGTGTCATACACGGTATATTACGCCCCGGTGGGCTAGTGGGTACCCTCGCAGCTCACTAAGGGTCAGGTCATAGGTTCGAGTCCCGGCAGATTGTTTTTTTTCTCACCAAAATATATCCTGGAGGCGACGCGCTGCAAAGCTCGTTGTTAGAGGTATTATTAACGACCAAATAGTCACTGATCATTTCACGGAAGCGTGTCTTCTTGAACATATATGGAGGCAGTTTTCCCCGAAAACGTGACAAGAAGGAGCCGGGAGATTGGGGGGCTTGCTACTTTCACGGATGTTTGGGTGCGGTAGCTCGTCAGAGGCCGAAAGAGAAAGAAAGTTGACTCAAGACCTTGTTGCTGAGAGAGTAAGAGACATGCGGTAGGCCCCACCATCGCCATGCAGCATGTCCGTCAATACATTCCATCCGCGTACCCCCCGGAGGCCCCGTAGACAGTATACTCTCCCGAGCACCCCAAACAGCCCCCCTGCTCGGTACGAGATACTGTCTACGAAATCCCCGACACGACTATCATTGCCAGACAAAACGGCAGACAGAAAAACCAAAACTCCTATGCTAACAATAAATCATCCACCATTCCAATACAAACGACTCTGCCAATAGAACATGTCCCACGAAATCGCCGGATCTTCCAACAGAACACGTCCTGCAAAGCTTTCAAACATTTTTGAGTTCAAATTTCTACCCCTAAGAGGTCTGTCAAGAAAAACAAATCACCCTCTCGAGAAAAGTGCTCTACCCGATTCTCAAGCAGTCAAAACACGAACAATCACCCTTGGAAAAATACCCAGCAAAAAGATCAACATTACATCAGAATCACGTCAGAACGGGTAACTCTTGGAAAACGTGTCTTACGTCCTGACTACTCAGAACAATTCAGTCCTCAGATAAATATTCATGTTTCAACTCAATGGCCAGTTCAAATTACAAGAACATGCCAAACCCTCNACATCCAATACCTTGACAAAGAAACCACTCCACCAGCCCCCCTGCTGTAACATCCATTCCATCCTGAACATGAAGTCAAAATCAAATCAATCAATCAATCCAACAGCCTCCCTGCTGCATCATTCATCCCGAAAAATCAAAACCAAGACAAACCACCAGCGACTAGGATAATGGAACAATACTTCCCCCCCATGATTCTCACGCAGAACTACCCCATCCATCGCGAAAGCAAAAATCAACATCGAGCAGCAGATCAAAGGCCAGTACCAGGTCACATATTAAACACATGATGCAAGAAAGGCCCCATCGCTGAAATAGTGCAACACAAAGAACAAAATCAACGAATATTCATCACGAAGTCACGATGCGCGCAAAAAGTCTCCTTGGGGAGCGGTTTGGTCAAGAAATCCGCGCGTTGCAGGTCCGACCGTACGTGGACTACCTTGAACTCCCCCCGTGCTACACGCTCACGGATGAAATGGTGGCGGATGTCGATGTGCTTCGAGTTGGGAGTAGTAGCCGGGTTACTTGCCAAGTGAATAGCGCCTACGTTGTCCTCCCACACCGGCGTGCACCCCACATCACGGCCCGGAAAGATAAATTTCCACAGATACCGCAGAAAAATAGCCTCCTTCATCCCATCAGACATCGCCACGTACTCCGCTTCCGTCGAAGACAGGGTGACGCTCTTCTGCGTCCTACACAGATACATCACACACGCACCAGCGAACATCACTAGTGCCCCAGAAACAGACCGCCGGTCGGTTGCCTTGTTGGCGAAGTCCGAATCGACAAAAAGTTCCATGTGGTCTCCTCCCACCGTGCCCCTCTGAAAAGTAATCCCGTACCCGCTCGTGAATCTAACATACATCAAAACATGCAAAGCCGCCTCCCAGTGCAGTCGCTTCGGCGCGTGCGAATACCTCGCAACGGCACGTACCGCGTTGAGAATATCCGGGCGAGTCTGATTCGCCAGCCACATCAAGTGTCCCACTAGCGACCGGAAAGGCTCGTCGACATCGGGCTCGTCGGCGTCGTACTGCTCAAGCTTCAACCCAACGACCATAGGTGTCTCTTTGTCCGTCGTCACACCGAACTTGGCAACGATCTTCTCCGCTACAGCCTGTTGCGAAATAGTCACCGTCCCCAACACCGTGTCACGAGAAAACCGGCAACCCGCATACCATCGCAGTTCCCCAAGGTTGGAAATGGGCACATACCGGTTGAGGTCAACACCAAACTGATCGCACCTGCTCTTGAGCCCGATAGAGAAGATGTCGTCTACGTGGATCACAACCACCATGGTGACTACACCGCTCTCGATCAGACGCATCACACACGCATCGGCGGCACAAGGCTCGAAACCAAGACTCTTCATGCCACGCATCAAGTGATGATGCCATGTGCGGGACGCCTGCTTCAGACCGTATAGGCTCCGTCTCAACCGCACGACCTTACCGGAAAGCGCACCGCACCCAGGGGGAAGACGAATGAACACAACCTCATCCAGTTCTGATTGGACAAAGGCTTGCTCGGCATCGAAATGGCACAAGTCCCAATCTAACACACAGGCAATGGCGGCTAGCAATCGAATGCTCGTGATGGAAGGACACGGGGAGAAAGTCTCAAAGAAGTCAACACCCTCACGCTGCGCAAACCCACGGGCTACCAACCTAGCCTTAGCACGCACAGCATACCCAAACTCGTCTCCCTTCCATGAATACACCCACTTGGCGGAGATGACGTTCGTCCCTCGTTGCTATTCCGCCCCGACCTCCTCGAAGGTGCCCACTGCATTCAGCCCGAAAAACTCCTTGCGTTCGGCGTTGGTCCACATGTGGTGGTGGGGCCCCGCGTGCGCCTCCCCGTATGTCTCAGGCGTCTCCAGGTCGCACACCAGCCCCGTCGGCAGGGCTGGCTCAGCGACGCCCGGTGCAGGAAGCTCGGCGATAGACCGCTTGATCTCGTCCTCCGTGGCTAGAAGAGCAAATATCCCCGGCCCTGGCCCATCTCGCTTCGCCCGCGACCTCGTCACTGCGGGGGTCGCTACAAACTCCCGCTGCCCCTGCCGACGACGTCCGCCTGTACCGCCCTCATGCACCATCTCCGTCCACAGTCCGTCCGATGCCATCGCCGCCGAGTGCGCGGGGGCAGGTGTGGCAACAGGTGCCGCAGATGTGGTCACCCGCGAAGGCCCCCCCGCCATCCGCGCAAGTTCCGCCAACACCGCGCTGCGCGCTGCTCCGCTCTCCACCTTGCTCTACGGTTCCGTCATATGCTCATGCTGCCGCTGCTCCGTCGCCGCCGGAGCTGCCGCCGATGCTGCCGCTCCGGCCGCCACCGCGGGGCCTCCGGCCATTCCCCCCGCCGCCGCCGTGGGGGTAACACTGCCACCGGAGGTCGCCGCTGTCGCGGCTGGAGCTGCTGCCGATGCTGCCGCTCCGGCCGCCACCGCGGGGCCTCCAGCCACCCCCCCCGCCGCCGCCGCGGGGGGAACATTGCCACC